CAGCAAGAAGGTTTCGGTCATCCCTTGAGGGTGAGTCTAGCCCTGCTCGCCAGAAAGACCCCCCCCTTCACTACAACCCATGTCTAAGCAAAAGCTCGTCGAGGAGCGAGGGGAAGAAGGGAGAAGGGGTCGACTTTATTCTAGATGAAGGGTTTGTACAATTTGGGAACGGCATGTACCAACAGCCTCCGGAATCTTTATGGGAACGGCTCCGGCCCCAGACCTAGCGAACATTTTTTTTGCATTCNGCCTCGCGGCGGATATGCGCAGCAGCAAGAAGGTTTCGGTCATCCCTTGAGGATGAGTCTAGCCCTGCTCGCCAGAAAGACCCCCCCCTTCACTACAACCCATGTCTAAGCAAAAGCTCGTCGAGGAGCGAGGGGAAGAAGGGAGAAGGGGTCGACTTTATTCTAGATGAAGGGTTTGTACAATTTGGGAACGGCATGTACCAACAGCCTCCGGAATCTTTATGGGAACGGCTCCGGCCCCAGACCTAGCGAACATTTTTTTTGCATTCATGCATGAATTCCAGTTTTTAAACGAAATGGTAGATGAGTATCTAGTAGCCAAGACTGCCGGAATTGCACCTCTTTACCCTTTCGAATTTATAGAACAAACTAGCATTGGTACAAAGAGGTACATAGGCAACATTTTCACTGTACGATATGTATGGTAACCAGAGTGGACCAACATTTGAAGACATAACCTGTAAGGACGGTGGTAAATATGGTGGTATGTACCCGGTAGCGGTTTTAGATCCGGATGGAAAGGAGATAGAAAACCCGGTTCGTATTACTCGAGAACAGTGTGGGGAGTCTGCATATTTTCTGGATGTGCAAATTGGGCAGGATATTCCGGGTAAGACGCATATTGGGATGTACAATAAGCGCCAACATATGGCTACGTTGCAGCAATATCGGGCATTCCCCCACTGGGAGACATTATTGTCTACTAGTTGTAAAATGTCTACTTTGCATTGTCAAATGTGCCGATTTGCCATACGATGTACTGGTACTGAAGTTCGATTTTTTTTTCAGACAGCAACGGCCAGACTTATGGACGACATGCACGCTTCTATTCTTCTAGACTTTTTCGTAACACTTTGCATGATTTCTCGTATACGTTTTTTCGTACATCGCCGGTTACTCTGAACATTAGGAACGTACATGTACCCACAGTCAGAATTTTTTACTGGCTTAAAGTTGAGACGGGTATCTGGAAGCGTATAGATGAACAGAACTTCGTGGCGGAGAGACAATAGATGGTCTTAGCATCGGATGGGAGACGGCCAACCTGTGAAAATGGAATATGAAAGTAATATTATGTATGATCAGAACGACATGTGCGACATGGTTAATGAAATAATTGATACAACAACAACAACAACGCGGAATTCAACGCCAACATTACACATTCTATCGTTTACATCTAACCTGTCAACGAAAATAATGTGCCTACCAGATCACGATGAAAACTAATGGAAAATAAGGCACAATACTCGTGTAGTATGTAGCGATGCAAAGATGTGTGGGCAACCGCATATTTGACCATCGAAACCGCAAGGGGAAACACTGAAAATGAAACGTGTCCCTTGCAAATAGAGTGAGAAACTTATGACCGACTTCCTCGCCAAAATTCCCATGCATCCAGGTGACAAGGGCAAATAGTGGAAATAACAACATATTGGTGAAATTGAGAGCGAAGCATGAAATTGAGAGCGAGAGCCCAAAAAAATAAAATTCGGGTCCAGACGCCTCTTGCCATTTCTTGAGAAGTAGGGGGCGGGCTCTTCCAAGAAGCGGCGCAAATTGAAGGTCTCATCACCAGCGTCACGAGGATATGCGTGTCATCGTCATCGGATGCTGCAGCTAGGAGCTAGGCCAGTTGCTAGATCTCCCCAGATTGGCTATTCCTGCCTCAAACTGTTGCAGGGCGGCTTGGCCTCGGGCGGTGGGCTCTGCTGTAGCTTCTGCTCGCCGCTGTAACTCCACATCGAGAGACTCCCACAGGATGACCATGGTATCTGCTTGTAGCTACGGGACGGCCCTTCAATTCAAGCTACAAAGCAAGCAGCACCTCTCAGCAGTAGTCTAGCTGCAGCGCATCGCGCAATTTCGCTCTCAATCAGATGCTTCGCTCTCAATTTCACCAATATGCTGTTAAATGCCGAAATGCCGCCAAATGACGCCGAACCAGAATTCTACCCTTCAAAGAGTCAGCCAAGTATGTATGCACATGAAGGAGCGCACACGCAGCCATTCGTCTGAGCTACTCCCCCACCTCTCCTGGTTTTCGGAGCTAGCCGGCAATTCGGATCCAGCCGTTGTGCGATGCGTAATCATCTCCGTTAGGATTTGAGGAGGACGGATTCTAAAGCTGTAGAGAAGCACTGCGCTTGTTCGCTCCTTCCTACTGCTGCTTGCGACTGACTTGGGCCTTCCAAAACTCCGACAGGTACGAACAACCCTTCGTGTGTGTGTGGTCGAAAATGGACTGCGCCTTTGTACAAGCCCAACATGCCACCATGCACATCATACTGCTGCTGCCGTTCACCTGTCGCCGTCCTCNAGCACTGCGCTTGTTCGCTCCTTCCTACTGCTGCTTGCGACTGACTTGGGCCTTCCAAAACTCCGACAGGTACGAACAACCCTTCGTGTGTGTGTGGTCGAAAATGGACTGCGCCTTTGTACAAGCCCAACATGCCACCATGCACATCATACTGCTGCTGCCGTTCACCTGTCGCCGTCCTCCCATGTCTACCTGTCCATGACACATCTGCCACTTGATGCGACAACATCTGGGAACAACACGGACACAGCGAGTACTCCCCCTACCCATACACAACACCGTCAATACTGCTTGAAAGCTAGAACAACCTCTGATTCCTCTCTTCCCACATCCTTTTCTTCGCTTTTTGTCTTTTTGTCTTTTTCTCTCTTTTCTGTGCCAGATGGCCTTGTCTCAGCTTGCGTTGTGATGTACCAAGATTGAACCAAGGGCGTGTACCTCATTCTCTCCGGCCTGATGGTGACCCTAGTCTCAGTTGTTACCTCGTATAAGCGCGCAGAGAGGGAATGGAGGACTCCAGAATATCTGTCGTTGATTTCTATTGACTTGCGGACCCCTCGGGGCAATTTTATTTGAGTGTACCTTTTTAGGGTGGTATAGGTCAACCTGCGACAACGGGAATCGACCACGTCGAGTGTTGGATCAATATGGACATCCGAAAGTACCGGGTAGAGAGAGATCGGAACGGTATTTAATGTGAAGACAACAACAACAACAACAACAACAACAACAACAACAACAACAACAACAACAACAACAACAACATACAAATGATGTAGATCCATGAAATGATACACTCTCTCTTTACTTATGGTCCGCACTGCCTAAAAATATATGGGAACTGTAACTATACCGTCTGCCGACACACGGGCGAGAGAGGCGACCATACCCACTGCATTTAACACACAACACCCACATGTCAGTGATGAAACCCCAACCACACGCCTCTATCGGCGGCCACGTCAGGAGGCAATGATGAGATAATGTTCTCCCGTGCCGTTCTCACACTGAACGACATTCCATTCATTACACAACAAGGTGAATATGTTCTCCCGCGCCGCACATGCCCTCATTCATCACAAACAAAAATAAGTTGATGACGAAACTATACACAACCCGAGACGTGCTTGCTCCGCAACCACATAAGGGTGCTAAAATAGAACACCCGACAAACCGAGTTCCCCTAAATCTTCCGCCTACAACTTCCCAAAATATCATACAGATAGATACACAAGATGGCTACCAAACTGCCTTGTTGAGCCTGTTACCCACACAGGGGAGTTATCGTTGTATGANAACACCCACATGTCAGTGATGAAACCCCAACCACACGCCTCTATCGGCGGCCACGTCAGGAGGCAATGATGAGATAATGTTCTCCCGTGCCGTTCTCACACTGAACGACATTCCATTCATTACACAACAAGGTGAATATGTTCTCCCGCGCCGCACATGCCCTCATTCATCACAAACAAAAATAAGTTGATGACGAAACTATACACAACCCGAGACGTGCTTGCTCCGCAACCACATAAGGGTGCTAAAATAGAACACCCGACAAACCGAGTTCCCCTAAATCTTCCGCCTACAACTTCCCAAAATATCATACAGATAGATACACAAGATGGCTACCAAACTGCCTTGTTGAGCCTGTTACCCACACAGGGGAGTTATCGTTGTATGTTGTCTGGGAAACCGTAGACATACAGGTAGCCTTTCGCTCACGCTATGGACTTATTGCAAATCTATCTTAGACGAAATTTCTATAGATAGAGTTGAATTTGTTGTGTGATATTTAGAAGACAAAATAAGAGAATAACAGGTACCGCACCGACCGACCGTTCGAGAAAAGAGCCCTCGGAAACCGGTCAAAATAAAACAAAAACACAAATAAAGGAGGACGCTTTTCACACCCGCCTAAAAAAAAAATCAAAGGGTAACGAACCAGCACCAGGCACTACGCACCCAGAGGGCATGGGAGTAACGGAGCAAACAGGACAAAGAGGCTGCAGATGGGCAGACAGCCAGACGTACGTACAAAAAACAACAGCGACAACAAAAGCGAGATCAAGGTACCCAACGCAGCAGAGTAGGCAGGGAGGACACGAAAAAAAAGAAACACAGCACAGAGGCCGAAGGCAATGTAAAGGACACACACAAAAGGAGTAGACTACAGGATACAGCAGGGAGGGAAACAGGGCGCAAAAACATCAGCCGGGTACATAGTTTGCCACAAGTGCTGTCTCGGCCGCCCTACTCGCTTCTACAGCCGTGCCCGGTCGCCGTTTCTTCCCCCCCACCGTCGCTTCCCCGATNGTACCCAACGCAGCAGAGTAGGCAGGGAGGACACGAAAAAAAAGAAACACAGCACAGAGGCCGAAGGCAATGTAAAGGACACACACAAAAGGAGTAGACTACAGGATACAGCAGGGAGGGAAACAGGGCGCAAAAACATCAGCCGGGTACATAGTTTGCCACAAGTGCTGTCTCGGCCGCCCTACTCGCTTCTACAGCCGTGCCCGGTCGCCGTTTCTTCCCCCCCACCGTCGCTTCCCCGATTTTCTTTCTCTTCGGTCCTGAGATGGCCGTACTCTCTGCTTCTGCTTCCCTCGGGCGCTGGCGCTTCGCGGACGCTTCCGCCTCCTGCCTGTGCCATTTGTTTCCTCATGAGCCGTACCGCCCCGTCCTCGACCTTGTTGTACCACACCTCCGGGTCCTTGGCGCTCTCTTTCCATTTCCCCCCTTCCTTTTCGTCTCCCATGTTGAACGCCACGAGGTCCTCTTCTAGACGAGACACCCAGTCGCTCTCCTGCCCGCCCCGGTATCCCACGCCCCCCGCCATCGCTCTTAACAGCATGCGCTTGGGGAGGCGGTTGTCCTCCATGCGCATAACACAACCCGCGAAACACAGTCTTAGTTTGCGCACGGTGGCCTCGATGGTTTCCTCGCAGCCTGCCTGGATGAGGGTTTGGGCATAGGACAGGGGGCGGTCTGAGCATTTCCGCTTGCTCCAGCCGATGCACCGTGTAAGGAACTGGCAATATAACCCCCGATCAATGCACTAACGAACTTACACCGTTTTCAACCAACGAAGATGACGCACTGCTGCGGCTGGTGACTTTCCTCCGAGACCACCAAAGTTCCAGTAGACTGAATGGTTCATCGTGTTCGTGAGCCCTAGCCCTGTTAAGGGCCGGCGGACTTGGGGCTGCTGTTTAACTGTGTGTATTAGCTCGCATGAGAGAGGAGAGAGGGAGAAGGAGGAGAGGCCCCAATTCTCGAGAGAACACGGGGACTCTGCACTATCATCCAAAGCCTCTCAGCACATACCCTTCAAGTTGTCCCAGCTGCGTCCCACGTAACGGCTACTTTTCGACTATCTACTTCTACGCACGAACACATCGCTCACCGATAATCGATATTCACTGTGAATGTGTTCTTTCTCCTCCTCGTGGATGCTGCTGGGTGTTAGATATACTCGTAGCGTACAAGCTGGGCCAGCCAAGAAGCTAACAATATGGTTGAAAGCCAGTTTCACCACGGTTTTTACGAGTTGGAACCAGAATTTCCGACATGTGGTTCGTGTAAGTGCAACAAATACAACTACTAGCCGTACTTCATTTTTGTTTATTTTTTTTCACGAGGTAGCCCTTTGAAAGGAAAATGGGAATCCTATTGTTGTGCATAGGAAGACCAAGAAAGAAAAAAAGAAAAAGTGCGGCTAGCAGTTGTATTGGTTTTAACAATACGAACCACATGTCAAAATTTCAGATTCCAACTCGTAAAAATCGTGATGTAATTTGCGATAACCTCACATACATATGTCCTTATGTAATGGTATTTGACCCCTTCCTTCAGAATCAATCACCTTGAGCTGTGTCGAACTCTCTTGTCCGACCACAGTAGCAGGTTGTTGTTGCTTTCCGTTGTTCTCTTTCTCGTGATTAACACTTTCCAAGCCAACTCACAATATCCCACGCATACACGATCAACACGACGTTGAAAACGGGGCACCGTTCACGGGGGAAAGAAACCTGAGCATGGACATCGTCATCAGGCCAGGAGCCCTCACGAACGCATCTTGTCCGGAGTACCGCAACAAAGGAATACTCCTCGATGTCACACACGCAGACCCGCAAGCACAGGTACACTTGCGGAACGGCAGCGCGACCAGCGATGGAACCGCAGCCCAAGCATCCGAGGCGCGAAAGTGTCAGCACTACGCTCGTCCGGGACACGTGTCCTTTGACGAACGCGAGCTTTAAACTTATCACCTTAGCCGTAGAAAGCTTTGGCCGCCTTGGAGAGGAGGGTTACGAGTTCATCGATGAACTTGCGACACATGCCGTGGGAGGAAGGGACGGAGGAACGATGGCTCTGAAAGGAGTCTTCAAGGAACGACTTCTTCAGATCGTTTCGGTGGCTACACAGGTGGCCATATCTCGGCGAGTGCAGAGGTACAAGCTCGCATTGCGCGGGCGTCAAGACGCCGAAAACAGGCGAACAAGATCGACCTCGAACCAGTCAACGCCAATGATATGGGGATGGAGTGTAGACGCATCGTAGAACGCGTTTTCGTTTGAAGTTGGCGTCTTGTTTGAGAGCAGATGTGACAGATTTGCGTAGAATAGGGTAAGATGTTATCATGAACGGAGAAGAAAGGGCTTTTCCAACACGGAGATGTAGCATGGATCAACGCATTTATTTGTTGGATATCAGTTTTTACAAGAGGACATCAACGCAGTAGTATTTTAGCAAGCTTACGAACGCATGTAGGATACCATGAGAATTGTCANAGAAGAAAGGGCTTTTCCAACACGGAGATGTAGCATGGATCAACGCATTTATTTGTTGGATATCAGCATTTACAAGAGGACATCAACGCAGTAGTATTTTAGCAAGCTTACGAACGCATGTAGGATACCATGAGAATTGTCATTGGTTTTATTTCAAATTGAAGAGGAGATGTTTTTACGATGTAAGTGACAGTAGAAATATGTCCTACATATGTTGTTGTACTTCGTATTGGTTTAATATTCATGTAGAGTATGAGATATTAAGTGAAAGTTTTCTGAGGTACATCTGCAATAGTCGGAAGGCAAACAAAAAAACATTAAAAAAATAATATCAGAGATCGTCTGTACGCACACACTGAACAGAAGGGCACATGACTCGGCATAAAGCCCTGATCTAGCATGACGTCACGTCTTAGCATCCGACGGCGCCAAATAGTCATGGTCAACCACGATCACATGTCTACCTCCAAGTACCATAACAATAGCCCACCCTGAGTGGTCGTAGATGCAGATACAGAAGCAAACCTCGGAGGGACTCTAGTCCATCAAGAGGATTGCGGGATGGATCGAATATGCGACAACTCAAAACCCTCACCCGTACCTCTCCGTTAACCAAACCAAAGAAGTGGAACCAAGAAAGAAGAAAACATGGATTTACATCCGTACTTTTTGGCCTGGTATTCAAACGCAAGTTGCAAAGCTTCCCTCAGTTTTTCTTTTCGTGGGACTATCGGAATATAAGGGTACATGCCTACAATATCAATCGTTTTAAATACATTGGCATCTGTGCATCCCTCCATTTGTGCCCGAATGTCAACATCGTGTGTAACTTCTAAAATATTCTCCCCGCTAGAGGTATTCCAACATTCTTTGGCTGCAATGCCAACCTTTGCACATACTTCACGCCACAGTGCGTGAAGGCATGGCAGAATATTAACAAGGACTGCATTGACAACCTTGGCCACCCCTTCCGTTATCGTCCCATAGCATGCCGTAATTCCACGTGTCGCTACCAATCGTTTATAACAACATATTCGCACGATTGAGAGCGAAATATCTGATTGAGAGCGAGATCGTGCGATACGATATAGCTTGTCTACTGCTGAGAGGTAGAGCTTGCTGTGCGGCTTGAATTGAAGGGCTTGCCCATAGCTACAAGCCGATACCCGGGTCATCCTGCGGGTGTCTCGCGTTGTGGAGCTACACCGCGGAGCAGAAGCTACGGGAGGGCCTACCGCGCCAGGCGACGGCGCCCTGAAACAGTTTCGGGCAGGAATAGCCAATCTGGGGAAATCTAGCAACGTGCGCAGCTCCTCGCTGCTGCAGCCGATCGCAGTGACACGCATATGCACGCGAAGCTGCTGAAGAGAGCTTCAATTTGCGCCGCTTTTTGGAAGAGCCCTTCCCCTGCTTCCCGAGAAATGACGGGAGGCGTCTGGACCCGAATTTCGATTTTTTTTGGTTCTCGCTCTCAATCGGAAACTTTGTTCGATAATTCGGGTGACCCAGTTCTATGTGCTTGGAGTTTAGAGCGGGTGGCCCATGATGGGGCGTGGATGGATAAAAACGTACAGACGTGTTGGAAAACGTGTTGTATACCTGTTGTATCCGTCGGGGGCGTGCTTGAGCTCGTCATTCCATCACGGCATCAAGTCACGCATAACGCTCAAACACCCAAAACGAATCTCCATGAATAATTTATCCACCAATCTACCACACGGCTAAGCCACTACTGCGAGCGAGAGGGCATCCTCCCGGAGGAGCAGAGCGGTTTCCGCCCACACCGGTCGACGCTCGACATGCTGTTCGCGATCCAGCGGCTCCATGAGCTCGCGAGGAAGAAGAGTACTGCGGTCTTCGCGTGCTTCGTCGATCTCACCAAGGCGTACGATTCGGTGGACCGAGATCTGCTGTGGGACGTGCTCGGACGCTTTGGCGTGCCCCCGAAGATGCTGGCGGTCATTCGCCACTTCCACGAGGGCATGAGGGCGCGGGTTCGAACGGACGACGGGCAGTACTCGGAATGGTTTGACGTCGGCCAAGGTCTCCGACAGGGGTGCAACCTGGCCCCGCTGCTGTTCAACTTGTTCTCTGCCGCGATGCGCATGGTCGCAGTGA